CTGAGCTGTAGGTTCAGATTTTATATAAAAACATATAAAAAGCTTATTAAAAAAACACAATGTGTATTTAAAGAAAAGACTTGTGAGAATTTTCTCACATGGTTTGTTGTAAACTGTCCGAGGGCTAACAAGGTCAAATGATGTAGAATAATTTTTAAAAAGCAAAGATTAAAATCCAAAACCAGAAAACAGATCAGTGAATGACAACTTTTATTTTTTCTTCTTTCCTCTTCTGTGAATCATGTGACAACCCCCTCAGATTTATCCGGTGACCATTTGGAGGGGCGTGACCCCTGGGTTGGGAACCACAAGACTGAACTATCTAACTATATATGACGTAGTTAAAATGTAAAAGATATAGAATTAATATATAAATCACAATGAGTACTTTTACTATTGACACTTGAAGTACATTTAGCTGATAACACTTGTGTACTTAGGTTGGATTAAGACTTTTAATTTGGAGTATTTTTACATTATGATACTGGTACTTTTAGTTAAGTAGAGAATGTAAAGACAGTTCTGTTTAACCCTGTAAGGCCGACTGTTGCAATATTACAACGTCACATTTAACCATCCTAAAAAAAAGATCTCCGAATATTTTCTTTTCACAAGACCGCATTTTCATAGTCAATGGGTCCTATTGTTTATCCTAACAATGCTATTGGATAGCGTTGAATAGGTGTTTATAGGTCCGGTCATCTGACCATGAACTCACACTACCTGCGAACTTTTCTCCAAGCTCATCTCCTTTGTCAAGATTCAAATAGGTAAATTACATGAAATATTTTTATTTGTTTTTATTACAATGTGTAGAACATGTAGATGTTAAGTTATTGTGGAAAACATTCATCAAATTTGATTTTGAGTTTGTTGTGTCTATGTTGCAATTTTACAACACTCGGTCTATCTATCTATTCTTCCAGGTTATCTACTACAAATAATACTCATATGTATCTTGTATATGTATCTCATTATCTTTTTTATTTTTTCCATTTCAGAATGCCACCAGCATGGAGAGATCATCAATACATTGTGACTCTACAGTTTTGTTAATAGAACAAGTAGATTTGTAATGTAAATTTTATCCTACGTTTTTTTATTAATAAATGACTATTCATAAAGATATGACTGTTGTGTCATTATTATTCACAATGTATACTATTCTGGGGCTAAATAGGCAGTCAACCCTGCAAATGAAGCCTGAGTTGTTCCGTATATATGTTCAGACAATGTGAGTACAAATACAGAAATTCTACTCCCACTGACTCCCAACGTTGCAATATTACAACGTTTTCCTAAAAACTCACAAAAACATAAAAAAAATTCTAAAACAATTTAACTTTTAATTTCTGCATCAGAGGCCTCCTACAAGAACATCTGGAAAGTGAAAACATTTTTTGCTCATATTTTTTCTATGCCACCTGAGAAGTATAAACATGTTAATTGGTGTTTCAGTTTATTTATCTACCCATTGATCTTGACATGCTATTTCCTGCTTCAATTACCATAAATAGTAGAGCAGAGGGCAGAACAACACTGATCGTAACAGACGGTCTTGAGGTGAATGTTGCCTGGCAGCATTCCTGTTTCTCCAGGAGCCTGGTTGAATTTGATTGCGACTGACAAACGTCTGGCCTCTGGTCGTATACTGCTTCAGACCCATTTCCTGTCGTCAGCCTCAGATTTCAGTTCACTCAGCCTTTCTGCTCCTGCTGTACCTGATCCATCACATTTAACATCAGCTTTGGTTTCATTCTCACCAGATTCACACAGTGGTGGGAAAAATTTTCATTAAGCATATGTCGTGATGTCAAAGTGTAAAAATACTCCATTACAAGTAAAAATCCAACATTCAAAGTTTCACTTATAGCACAGAAGTATTATCAATAAAATGCGAGGTCTGAGAGGTCTTTGAATATGACGACTGACATTGGCCAAAATCTGGTGCTTTTTCAGGTTTTACATGACGGCTGCTGTAATAATTGCTCCTTTTCATACATGTGGAAGCATCTCTTCATTAGTTTCAGTCAGCTGCCTCTAAAACTCGTGTGGCGTGCTCACACATTTATCTTTTTACTCCACTGCATTTCAGTGTTAACGCAATTAAACATTTAAGGGTCACGTTTTTTCAAGTCTTAAATGCCCACATGTCCACTAACAGTTATCTGTTGCTGAAATAATTCCTGCTGTTGTCTAATTCTGAAATATACTGAAATCCTGAAGTTTAGAAACCTTTTTTAAACTGAACGTGGAATGGAGGTTTTGTTAGGAATAGTGAGGCAGATAGCTGGAGTAATCTTTCAAATGCAGATACAAGCACCAAAACTGGTTTGTTTTTCACTCTGGGGCCATTAATTAAAAAACTCCCATTAGTCACTTGAACTACTAACAAGTCACACTATTCATCATGAAGTCATAAAGCAAACAGACAGCACTGATCTGGTTTTAAAGGTGATGTGGTGTAGCTGAACTCCATCCATCTACACTGACAGCTGGATGGGGAAATTCAGGAGAGCTGCCTGCCAGGAATGAACTGGTTAAGCTGCATCTGAACACCAGTTAACAAATGAACGCTGCCACTGTCATTTCCATAAACAAGTACTTGTCTAGGAACAAGTAGAACTAGAAAAAAGTGTCGAAAGCATAAAGGTCAGACGTCATGGTTTACACACTCTAATCTCTCTGCTGTTCTTCAAAAGAACAGGCTGTCTCTCAGGCTCAGATTATTTCCAACTTTAACAAGTCCAAAAGCAGTGAATGTGTCCGGCTGAATCACAGGGTCATTTGTACAAAATGACTCAACATTCATTACTTATGAAACGTATTTACCTCGATGGAAGTTTTCATGTTTTTTTGTTTTGCAGTGTTGAATCAAAGTAGATTTAATGTGGATTTTTTTCAGTGTTTGGACTTAAACTTTAGCTTAAGTTTATATACTTTTCTTAAACTGACAGGTAACTACAACTGTCAAATAAAATGGAGTATTAGTATTATAAACTTAGTGAGACACATAGCTAAAAGTGATGGATAATAAATAGTTAAAAAGGTTATAGCTGGGTGACAGCACTGACTGACACTGATGTTCTTGTCTTGATGGTAGACTCACCCTCCAGCTACAGGTGTGAACCACTCCAACGACACTCAGGTGATCTCCACTTAACTAATTATGTGACTTGTAAAACCAACTGGCTGCAGCAGAGACTATTTAGGTTTAAAGGGGATGAATGTTTATGTAAACATTTATTTTGTGTTTTGTATTTGTAATGAGTCTTCACTTTGACATTAAAGTTCTGTTGATCAGTCTCGAAATCCAACATTAAACCTGACAATAAAACATGAAAACTGCAGCAGGTGGCTCTGTGTGAGATACACTCATTATCGTTGTGATTTAATTTTTGGATACTGTAAATGGTATGTGTAATAATTTAATGAATTAAGAGTCTTTATTATTGGATGAGTTGTTTCCAGGAACTTACTGGATATAATTTTCTCATGTGAAGAAAAACTGGTTCCGCCAGTTAGTCTACAAACCTCAACAAGGAAGTCTGCCTCACTGAGAGTAAACTACAGGTAAGGATAGCAGGTATGCAGAAGTGCAAAGTCATGGTTACAAAATCAACACAGCACCAGGAAATTATGGCACTGCAACAATAAAAAAAAATCTGGTGAGAGCATTTATGATTAACAACAGTAACCACTCTATCTTGAAACAGGCTTTTTAGGGTGGTGATTGTCAGTGATCAGTGCTGTCGGCCTGGGTTCATGTTTGTCGGTTGCTGCAGTTGAGGGTCAATGTGCAAATTCTGTGTGAAGCTTGAAGTTTGCATGTTTTTCCACATATTGATGTTGTTTCCTGCAGCTGCTGAGATTTCCACACAGTTTAACACACTCAGCCATGATTGTCATATTAGGTGGTTTTCTTCTTCATCTGGGGGGTGGGTGGGGGTGGGGGGGGGCTTCAGTGTTAGTGAGGGGCTCGACATATGATGACTATCAATGACCAAAAAATGTGACTTCAGTTCATTACAACTCAGCTGAAACGTTTCATCAAGTCGCCTCAGAACCAGAGAGGGAAAGCTGTGACTGGATCTTCTCAGAGAAATGTTCCAGTTTAGTTACAGAAATCACTGACAGTGAAAAACTAAATGATTTTCTGCTTTTTTTTCCACTTATCAACTATTTTTTCTCTCCATATTATCAGTCAGGGCTCTTTAATAAAAGCCTTGTTTAATTTACATGAAGACTTTCACATTTCATGTAACATTATCCAAAAGACTAATAATTCAGTCTAATAGATACTAATAAAGAGATAATATTTCATGACTGTAACATGGTCTTGCGTTCACCTGAACATGTACTAATGAAACAGAAATGCTTTAATTTTCTTCTTTTACTCATATTCAGCCATGGAACATAAGGAGGAGGCTCTGAGGGGTTAAACCCAATAAGAGCAGGTACATTTAGTAGGGAAAAGTGTTAAGAGTTGTATAGTGTAATAAGCTGAGACATCTAATCCAGTTAAAACTTGTTTATATTTTCCCACCAAACTGTTGTTGAATCACCTCATTAGGACGAAAAACAGCCACCAAGACTAAAACAAAATGGAGAAAAGAATGAGTTTCTATGACACTCATCTGTGAAGCTGAACAGTGCGCCAAGTTTCACCAGGCCTGGCAGGCAAATAAACCAGTTTATTGAGAGGTAAACATCTCAGGGCAATCAAAGACTTTTCCTAAGCTTAACACAAACCTAGCTGGTGCATGAAGAAGGGGATTTAAATGCTCAAAAACTCAGTCAAGTTTTTAATAACTGACTGTTCATAGCTGCTGTGTCTCCTCTAATCATGTCTGTAGGTTCTGACATCTGAGCTCCATGAGGTTCAGCAATAGTTTTCTGTACAAACAAAGTATTTGAAAGCAGCACAAGATATTAACAAGTCAAGAGTGATTAAGAACCACAGAGGCACTGTTAGATTTTATCAACACTTTCTTTTGAAATCCAGCACATGCACAATACAAAAACAACTCATCAATAATAAATACACAAGTAAGAATTCTGCCTCAACAAAAACGCCTTCACTGTGAGGCCTCATTTACAAAAGTTAATTTTAGTTGATCATAGTCTGAAGATCTACTCCCACGACAAACTTAGCTTTGAGGAAAAGTATTTAGGAAGTTAAAGGCATAACTGAATCTTTATAGAGCCATGTTGGCGTCTCAGGTTGACAGCAGTCCAGTGAGTTGTTGACAGGTAACTTAAGTTACACAGAACTCACTGACTGTAAAAACAAAGAGCAGCTTCAGTTCAGTGACAGTTTTAAAACCTGTTCGCAAGCTGTAAGTGAATATGACACCGGGACTTTTCAGAGTTTCATCGCAAACCTGTCTGATAACTTGCTGTGCAGAGCGATTTATCAGATTCACTAAATTCTCTTTAAACTGCATAAACATGTAATAAATAGATCATTTCAACTTCTAATTCTGTTCAAGAAAACTGGTGAATGGAGCAAATTCCATTAAAACACTCAAACATGCCATTTAGAACAAATCTATTGGTTGAGCGGATCTTGCATGAGGCCCATTAGGATCTCACTCCAAGACAATAAGTGTTCAGCTGTTGAGTTTTTCACTTTGTGAGCAAACTGCAGTGATCCAACACAATCTCCAGATATGAAGTGACTCTACAGTGAGATTTATGATGAAGCATATTTTCACATCAAAGTCAGTTTCTTGATGGTGCGATTTATTCTTAACAACCTGGGTTTTTTTTAAATTTCCACAGCTTTAACCATAATTGACTTACAATACCAGTTAATCTGAGCATGCAGTAACACTGGTAGTCACACATTTATACATGAGTCTAATAGTAAAACCAACACAGGCTATCAGACAGGTTTTTAACTCCCTGGGTTACTAGACCGCTGAGTGAAAACAGATTAAAGCGCTTCAAATGTCAGTCATAATCATCCATTACACTGTGAGCTCTGTCCTCAGTACAGCAGGTCAAAGTTACACATGATGTAGCTCTGAGGTTAACAGTAACAATTTGGGTGTGGTCACCTTTGTTTTCATCTGTCTGCCAAAGGCTATATAAATCTACATAAACTTAAATGACACATTTCTAAATGTTTCATCTTAATCTAGATCTGCAACAAAATACAGATGATTCCATCAGGTAGCTTCAGCAGTTCATGAGAAAAAAGAAAAAATAATGTCGGCACATTCACCATGGAGGTGAAAATATAACCTCCTTGCAGAGGTAAGAGATGATTTAATATTGTTAAGATGGTTTGTTTCTGACTGTTTCCAGTGATGGTGCTGGTGTGAATATTATCCTTATCAACTAGACTGATAGCCAAAATTATGAAATTAGACTCAGGCTGTAAAAATAAGACAGTACTTGATCCAGAGTTTGTTTTTAAATGAGGCCCCACTGACCAGAAGAAGAAAGAAATGAGCAAACAGAAAACAGGAATAGTCACATTTTTCTACACATTCAAGAGGATCAAAGTTAACAGTTATATAAAAGGTGAAAGGTGTGGGCTGGGCCCAGTATGGACAGGGGGTAGACAAACTGTTCTTTGTGCTGAGGTGGGAGGGGGACAGTTTGTCCTTGAATGAGGATTTAGTAAGGTCGGCCTCGTCGCTCCTGTCTGCGATCACCCCTGGAAATAACAAACACACTTACTTCATCAGCACTGAACTGAACGCTCACGACAAACATAGAAACCACTTGCACTGAATAATAGCCAAGGGGAGAGAGAGAGAGAGAGAGAGAGAGAGAGAGAGAGAGAGAGAGAGAGAGAGAACATTATGTTCCTTCTCATAGGAGTCACATCAACCAAATCTTCAGTTATGTGACGCATCAAAATGCAGAAATACTTGTCTTAAGTGTCTTATATGCTTTTAGTCACTTTGACATCAAAGTCGATAGAGTTTAGTCATGAAGTCAGAGTTTTATGCATCTGTCCAAATGACTGCTCTCAGAGCTGTAAAGGTCTGAATGTTCTATGCTTGATGTATAAAAACGTTTTTTATCCACAATTGGTTTCAAAGCTCGACACCAAGATGGTTTCTCACCAGAGTGCTGTTTGTTTGAGTGAATCTGACCTTGCGTCCATCTTGCCAGGGCCATATCCTCCCCGGTCGCCTCCTCTGCCTCCTCTGAAGCCCCCGCGGTCACCGCCTCGTCCCCTAAAGCCGCCTCGATCAAACCCCCCTCTGCGCTCTCCTCCATAACCTCCTGAAATCACAACAAGCAATCTGGTGACAATTTGTAAACTGCTGAGTAAGTCTCTACTATGATTGACTCTGAGGGATTCAGTACCAGGAGGGATCAGTCTACAAGTCTTCCTCAAGTTTCTTCCATTTTTTTTTTCCTTTTTTATTCAGGGGGAGTTTTTCCTTACCCTAATCTAGGGTCTGAACAGAGGCTGCCATATGCTGAACAGACTGTAAAGCCCCTTGAGGCAAATGTGTGAGATAGGGTTATGTAAATAAAGTTGACTTGACCCTACAGACAAAGAGCTGCATTGTCACACTGTGGCATTAACTGGTACCTTGTTCAATAGCACAGTGGTTATGGATAAAAAATAAAATATAACAATATTGATAAAATATATTTCTATTGTATTATTACTGGTCATGTGTTTTAATCAGCAGAGAGTTACAAAACCACCACATATTGTCATAATGTAAAAACTAGTCTAACCTCTTTCCATGGGGGGCATCCCACTAGCATCCTCTGGTTTAGGAGCCTTGCACTGGTTACACTCATTACGCCACGAGAAGTTCAGGTTGCCACAGTTGCTGAAAATGAAAAATGAAATGACATTACATTTTCCTGGAGGGTTAAAATCATACAGATCAGATAAAAGCCAGTTTAAAGAGGTGTGTATTTAGCTGCCATTTAAAATGAATGAAAGAAGCAGCTGTGCTGATAGTGAATGGTGATGTATTCCACAGTTTAGGTTCCAGAATAGTAAATGTATGTTCAGATTATAAGATTAGATTTGGAAAATGTGAGAAGAGTTTTTTCTGATGATCTATGTGTACGCTATGTTACTTCTGGGTTCAGCAGGTCAGAGACGTGGAGTTGAACTTTTTTATTATTGACAGAATTCTGAAGTGTAGTCTGGAGGCAATGGGAAGCCAGTGAAGATGAAGTAATGTGTTCTCATCCCGTAGGTCCAGTCTAGCAGCTTCTTTATGGAATAACTGCAAACAATTTAATGACTGATAAAAATACAACTAACCTGTACTTACTTACTTTAAAGGTCAGATTTGAAAGACAGAGTGCTCTCAAATTTCTAACAGATGGCTTCAAGTCTGTGAGCGTGAGGTCAGGGAAATGATTAATTCAACTGTCAGGCTGAGTGGGGCAAATAAAATTATCTGAGTCCTCATTATCTGAATGTCTTATCCTCATTAAGCCGAAGAGAGTTGCAATACATCCAACACTTTATATCTTCAAAAATATCAATCTGTGTGAAATTAAACATTATGTTGTGTCTGCAAATAGAAAAAATGATGGGGTCCAGAATCGACCCTTGAGGTATACCACAGGCATGTTTAGAAGATGAGGAAGTGAAGCCAACAAGTTCAACCAAAGGTTGTCAGAGAGACAGAATCCTGAACGAAACCATGAAGTAAACCACCACCCACTGCCTCTGACTCACGGGTTTGAACACTTCCAGTCTCCAGCTCTCTGCTGCCCTCCTCCTCCACCTCCTCCACCACCACCGTTGCCTCCTGGGAAACCTCCACCTCGACCCCCTCCAAATCCTCCATGGCCCATCGGCCCTTCACCAAGAAAAAAACAAAACAAAAAACAACCCAGTTAGATCTCCTGTTGTAACACATAACACATCAACAATTCCATGACAACCGGGCAAATTTCGTCTGCTCAGGAAGATTGTGTGATATGATGAAAAGCTACTGAGCAGCTACAAAATAGACCTTGTATTCCTAAAGTCAAGGATGCACTTTCAATCTCAATTTGTCTCAAATAAGACAGGACTTCTAAATTACATCTCATACGCCATTACAGAGTTCCAACCTTCAAAAAATAAGTTTAAAAAATGGGCTCACCTCGTCCGCGACCTCCCCTCATTCCACCTCGGCCTCCAAAGTCAGCTCTGCGGGTGGCAAAGGACACCTTGATGGGATTTCCATTGAAGTCCTTACCTGGTGAGGAAAGATATCAAAATGTCACAAGCAGCTGAGCTGAGGTAAATAAAAATGTGCTTTACATTACAAAATGGATGAAGCTGAGAAATGAGAAATAGCACAGAATTCAACACAATACAAGACAAACTTAAATGTAACTGTAAAACTGCTTGAATTCAGTTACAACAGATTCCAAAAGTATTCAGTTTCTAAGGAGGAGAAAGAAATCAAAACAACCAGAACAAAACAGTTCAAACTACTCCTGCAGCGTGATTCACTTCACTGCTGTCCATCACTGTGCTCAGGATGTTCCACACACTTATAGTTTAACCAAACCTTTGCTGAATACTCTGCTTCCATCTCATTCCTAAACTGCAACCTTGTTGAAAATATAATGTTACCTGCCTGACGTTTTGAAGAGGTCATGGAGCAAACACTGAATTTGGGTAAGCCCTGACAGACAGATAAACAACGTACCATCAAACCAGTCGATGGCAGCCTTAGCTGAAGGGGGGTCATCAAAGGAAACTGTGGCCTCCCCTTTCAGCTTTCCTGTCTCTCTGTCTGTGTACAGATTGATCATGGGCAGGCCTGTTTTCTTGTTGACCTAAGAGGATGGACAGAAGGAAAAAATAGGGACAATAGACACACAAAAATGAGTGACAATCTCTGGGGACCAAGGAAAAACAAATAAGTACAAATTCCACTTATTTATCAGTTTCCATTTCAGCCATTGTTAAATCTGTACCCAGTATTTATACCCCACGTCCCTAGATGTAGTGTCTCAATCTTAATTTGAAGACCTGAAATACATTGTGCTGCAACAGATATTTATTGTAAATATGTTGGGTTTTTTGAGTTTGAGCCTGAACAGTGTTCAAGTTCAACATTACACAAATGAATAAACAAATAACAAACATGTAGCACTTGCCTTAATGATCCCAATCTGCTTAAAAAAGTCAGCCACTGATTCAACGGTGTAGTCGTCTCCCAGGCCTTGTACAAAGATGGTGTTATTATCAGAGTTATCCTGGTCTTGCACTGTTGGAAGAAATATGAAGAGATATCAGAGAACAACAAAAGGACAACACAACACTGGACATCACACCCCCTTTAAATGATCACATATCACTCTGTGTAGGTCAGTTTCTGATCTACAACAACTACAATCCAAATCGATTCTCATTATTAATTTGGTATTAAAGTTGCACTGATTGATTTTGGCCACTCTGAGTCAGCAGAGCAAGCTGAAACCACACCTGACATATTATCACCTTAAATATGTGTTGTGATGAAAGTCATCTATCTACACATCAAGCAGACAGAGCAACACACCTCACATTAATGTTGCAAAACAAGATGATTTAGCTGCTGTTTAGCCTTAGCAGTAGTGGAGTTAAAAGTAGTCCTGAGGGCGTCATTATAATCAAACAGGTTCATTATCTAGGGGAAGCGGTCAGAAAATTTCATAGCAATCTGCCCATTGGATATTGATGTTTTATTTGAATAATAGGAAACTGATTGACCTGATTGATTTGTTGATTGAGATGCTTCAGGTTAATGAATGTTCATAAATATGTAACTAAAATGTGATGTCAATTAGGTTATTTTCTGATCAAAATACTCTGTCGTAAACTGAATGGTCGAAGTAGCAATCTCTTTTGGACAATTATTATTCATGCGAGGGGGCCAAGACAACCATCTCTCTTGGACAAGAAATATCCATTACAAACTTCAAGTAAATATGCCCAGTAGTTGTCAAGACCTCATAGAATAGACACCTGACACCAGAACAAAAATTAAACAATGCAAGACTTACTGAAGCTGGGTCCTCCGTGTCCATGTCCTGGGTCTCTTGGTCCTTGAGAAGACAAGACGCAGATATCAGTTGTGGAAAAGAAATTTGTTGAATCACACATAAAAACAAAACAGTAAATTCCTTTCATCCACACTTTGTTCCCACCAAAACAGTACCAACATTAAGCTCGTAGCCACTGAGCGTGTGGAGATATTGTCTAAAGGTGCTTACAGTACCAGGAGAGCCTGAATACTTGTCACAAAAAAGCACATTTTACCATCCTGTCTTTCCATCGTGTCATTATATCATCGAATCTTTCATAATTACCACAATTCACAGCAGCTGTATGCAGGGGACTGTAAGTAGCCGATGTCATCCCACGAACAAGTGTACGGAACAAGATCGTCCACATTATTGAGATACTGTCCTCGAGTAGATTTTGTGCTTCAGAATAACCACCATTTCACAGCAAACCATTTCAATGTTTTGGTAGGTTTTTTTTTTTTTGCTTAAACAAATAAGTCTGACACCTCATGAAAAGTCACTCAGGTTGGGTTTTGGTATATAAAACACTCCACAAGTCAGGTCAATGCATTGTTGTGATGTATTTCATGGTACACTATAATCATTTCCTTTCACACAAACTTTACCAACTGTTGGAACCAAGTCCAACACATTGAAACAGAAATCCCTTTTTTTTAATTTTTTGGTTTTCCCACAGCTTAAGAAAGGACTCTTGGAAATTGTCCCAACATACATCTTGGGAATAGGAACACCACGTTTGCCATTCTGAGAACTTTTTGTGATTTTGTACAGTTACGCATACTTCACCCATTCATAAAACCAACTTCCAATGTTCAGGTTTTCAGTGGTAACACCTTGGAAAGTCAGGCATTAAGTCCCGTCACCTTTTTGAAGATGGACTGCATACTGCGTCACTGGCAGCTTGATTCAACACAACATTTGAACCACTTACAGCACACTCAGGTAGAGTGAAAAAGCGAGCGAAACCTTTTCCACAGAACTCATTTTTCTTCTTTACAGTGAAGAATGTCAATCAGGAAACTGACCACAGCATTTATCTCTGCACGACTGTGAGATGACTCATTGTTTAGACTTTTGACTTCTTCCATGAAGGCGTCATGTTACCATGACTAATGTGAACAGGTAACAGTGTCCACAGTAAAACTCTAGATTTCAGCTCAGTCGAATGCCCCCAGATTTTATGCATTTCATGTACAACAAACGAACCTGCCATTAAACAGAGAGAATTTGACCAGATGTGTTCTTAGTAATTTGCATGGACTTTTACAATGTCAATAAGGACAATTACCTTTTTTCTATCAACAGTCAGTTGAGTTTTTATTACGATACAAACATCAGCAAACTGTTACTATAAACTGTGTGTTTCCTCATTAGCAACGTTTCATTATTTAAGTGTTTTGTTGTAGCTTTTCACCATTAATATTTTTGTAATATTCATGTTACTGATTAAGGTAAGATCAGCTGAAGTATTAAGAATCTCTCTGGGCCTCCTAATGTCACTGACACCACTAGTTACATCAACTCTACTGGTTTTTAATTTTGATAAAAAAAAATACATATACAAATAAAAGACACTAAAAAGTATCTCTGTCCCCAACAAAGGTTTGAGATTATGCCTTCAGTTGCAAACATAAACCTTCCAACAGCAAACCTTTAACATATCATCATTCACAATAAATCAAATATGTGATTAACAACCTTTAGATGTGGTTTACCCATACAATAGACTGAGCCATGTGATGAAGCTTTCATAACAATTGGTCTATTGTTCCAAATGGACCAATGTGTTGTGCGAAACCACAAACCTTTTTCCTATTTACAGTACACTAAGCACCATATCAAGTTACTGATGCTTGATAATATTCCACAGGTGTGTGATAAAACCAGTTTTACCATCCAACACTCTTCTTTGAAAAGTAGAACCAAAACTTCCATCTACATGTTTTACAGCCACTCTGGTTCTGGGCATTGTTGTCAATTATACCTTAAGAATATAAATGTTATTTAATCAATTCATGTGACACACAGCTTGAACCATGTTTGCAAAATCTGAATGACAGGGCATTTTCCAAGGGTATAGTTGTATGGTCCAAACTGCTGACACTTTTCTTATCTCATTTCTTTTGTTGACTGACGCAGCACCCCATCAAAAGCGTCAGGTTTAATGACTCATAAAAGACCGCACGTAGCTCTGAACACCCATCCATTAAATTCAAACTTCTTCAAATTCCAAGACATGAGTACAGTCCTACAGTCACAGGGGTTACCATACTACTCCCTCTGCTGAGTAAGAGTACACTTGCAGTAACTCGGACTTTTAGCCATTCAGAAAACTTGTAACAACACACTGAGGGTTCTTACCTGTGAGGCCATGCCATGGAACAGATTGTAAATCACACTATAACCTATTTAGCATATTGAGAAATAAAAAATAAAAAAAAGCCTTGAGAATAAGTTCAGCCTCCCCTTTCACATTTGTGTTTTTCCAGCATTTGTGTTTTCGAGCATTTTCTCTGCATGTGTTTACACACTGTTGTCCTCCTACAATCACCAGTTAAATATGTGGAACAGTGAAGTGTAATTTTGTACGTGGGTTACTAAAAAAACACACACACACACACACACACACACACACACACACAAACACACACATTGACACACACAGCACACGACATCTACTTAAACCCACTTTATGCTTTAAGTGTGGTATATGATCCCCCTCCCTTTAACTTTGACTCTTCAAACTCAAATCTTTTTGCTGAAGTGTTATTTTTTTGTCACTTACCACCAAACTTATTGAATCCTCCACGTTCGCCCATTCTGATGAAGAGGAAGAGAGAAACGACACGCATTGAAGACTGGTGTTGACAGCGATTTCTCTCATTGGGTAGTGGGTAACCTTCACTCTCAGTCTCTTCATTAAACCCACCCCTCTTCATTATGAACTCCTACTTAATCTTGTTCAGAGTCTCTTGAATATACCTCGAGGACAAGAGGCCAGTTTTAAGACCTCGTCTTTATTTGTTCAAAAGCAACTGAAATTTTTTATTTAATTTTTACCCAAAATATATATCAAGTCTTTCCGTAACTTGTATGTTCCCATTTGATTTCATCATATAACTTGGTTTTGTGTCAATTAACCAACCCAAACATTAACACCTCTGGTCCCTGGATTGGTGTTGGGTATCTTTTAGGTCTCAGACAACCTTTACTATTTACCACAAATACAGTGAATCCCAAAGCAGGTGTTCTTTGAGGCTTTTACCATTATCACCCAAATTATTGGTATTTTAATTTTTCTTTCCTCCAACTACAAGAAGACTATTAACTGTCTCTAGACTTCCCCCATTTTGGAATTTCCCAAATGATGGCTTAAGAGCAGAAAGCCACTCTGAAGAGAAGATAAAAGCCTAGGAGAAGATTCAAAGATTGATTAAAGCAGAGTATGACACAGATATCTGTCAGGGCTTGGGAAGGAGGTGGTAACAGGTGAGAAAAGCAGGTGATGGCAATGTTTTGTGGCATGTGGGGGCAGAGTCAAGGCCATGGTTTACTATCACGGAAATGCATCTTGCAGACAAAAACACACTTGTGAAGAGGAAAAAAAAAACAAAAACAAACAAAAAAAAAAAAACATATTGGCTTTGACCAATAGAGGGTGTAAAGTCTTACTTTCCAAGCTACCTGGATTTTATTCACACAACATTCAATGCTTAGGGCAAAAATTTCAAATATCAAATATCTAGTTGTGCTGCAGTGTATGTCATGTTTCAGTGTCCGGCAAATTTGTCTTCCTGCTCAGTTTGTGCCTTTTATAAATTGCACATAGACTTCCTTATACCAGGATATCATGTCTGGTATAAAAACCACAGATGTGACAAGTCAAGCACCAGTAGCTTTTTTACTCACATTTACATGTCCCTTCATTCTCAAATCTTAAACCGAGATCACTCATCATGCCTCTGTTGAACAACACATGAGCATATCAGCTGATCGGTGCACAGTGCTACCTGCCTAATTAAAGGATACTGTGATGGGGACTGAGTTCAAATATTGTAATGGGGAAGGATATTTAAATATAGTCCACAATGGGTGAGAAAACATACAATGGAATGGCAAACTAACTTGTCTAGGAGTTCATCACCAACATTATGGGGTTACATAGAAGTACATGAAATATTGTGCATCCTCTATAAGAAAAACAAAATATCAACTTACCATACCAGTTTCTGCCTCATAGCTTCACTCATTCAATGATGATGTTCTTGTTGTAAAATCTGTCCTGAATAATGTAACCCCTATGAAGCCCTAAAGATCTATTTCTCAGTATCTTTGCATTTATTATCTTTGTCTGTCTTACGTTTGTACAGAAACAACTGGAACTGGAATTAGCTTGTGAATGCAACAGTGTGTGGCAGTCAACTTTCAAGCCACCACAGATCCATTTTCAGCCTGTGTTCGGTGCTAAATGTTTAGTTTGGCAGCACATCCTCTCAGCAATAAGTGCAGATTTAAAAAAATAAATTCACTTTAGTGTTCCAGTACTGTTGTTGTTTATAATCAGGCTTTTGTGCAATGCTGAGTTCGAGTGTGATCAAACCATCATTTCTATAACAATGATGGAGTGAAATTTTGTGGTCGAGCACGCGTCACACTGGCAGCAGAGAGTCTGCTGTACACAAGGTTTTTGTGATTAGATTAATGTAAAAGAAACACATTTTGTACCCCGTATTGTGATACAGAGTTGCAAAACATTTATGTGAGACACTGTTCTGTAGATATTTGCTTTAGCTAAAGTTTCTATTTTCGCTGTGCATGTTTAAAAATGAAACTTACAAAAGCATGTAAACATGTTTATGGTTGCATTTGGCTTTTCTCTCGTTCCACCCCACCTCTCTTACTGTTTTATGTAAAGAATCACTGAAACAAGGGCCTTTACTCAAATAACTGACAGTGAGGAAGGGGTAGAGTTTCATACCAAAACTGTAATTTCTAAGATTTCAAACAGAAACAGAGAAAGAAGCAAACTGAAATCTGTTACAGACGATCAGCCAGTCCAACTGTAAAAGGCCTTAATTGAACTGCTGTGAACAGTGATTTATCCTGGTTCATGTTGTAGCACTTTCATTCGTTCAAAGATCCGTTTTTAATGATTCTGAAAATGTTCATTGCATCTTCTTGCTTTTGGTGGTAATAATCATGATGCTGACTTTGCTGGTGTGGTTTCTGACCAACATTTAGCCACAAGGACCTTAACTCCAAACCCCCTGTCCATGTCAACTCTGAACTTTACAAGCTCAGCTCAGCATCTGAGACACAACCTTTATGTTGTGCTTGGACACAGGCAACAGTGTTCTGAACAAGTACAATGTCCTTTTGTGAGATCAGGGCATTTCCTGTTTTCTGATTCAACACATGAGAGTTGTAAACTTAAAGTAGGGTGGGCAATAATTCAAAGGATTGTAAATCGATTTTTAGTGGTATCATATCATGATGATATCATTATATTGTGTTATTGTTTTACAATAATCTGTGGTCTAAATGAATGAGTCCAGGAAAATTGTTATTCAATTTTTCAAAAATGAGTTTTTCATGATGTGATGCATAACAGCGGAGCACTGTTCATAGCATTATTATTTTTACACTGAATTCTGAACCACATTACTGATGTTAGTATCTGAAAAATAATATTATCAAAATTGTGATATTGAGTTCTACCACATCGCCCAGCCTCAGCAACCCAGCAATGATGGATTTGTGTCAGCACTCGGGGCTGGCAGAGAGATACCATACTACCTGACGTAAGCCTGGTTTAGAGTTTTAGAGTTATATTGATACCAACAATTATAAATAAAAATATCTGTGTCACCTTAGATCATGTTCTGGACACATGAACACTCTTTCTTAGCGCATGAACCCTCTGTTTCTTTGCTGCCTTTGTGTGCATGTGTGCAGCAATCACCATGTTAATTCAGGAAATTCACACACCTTTAATATTCATCATTAAAAAGTCTATTGTAGTTTAGCAAGCATGTGATTAACTAATCAAAAGAAATGCCAAATCACTACGTGGTGATAAAAGTGTATTCAGATTTAGCCTGTTCATAACACATTAACCTTGTAAATCATGACACATGGCTTCTCCCTCTGTCATAGAACAGTAGCATCTTTTTCATAACAAGTTTTGGGATCAGTTTAAGGCACAGGTGCACGCATGGAGAGCTGCGGACACGACGCATACTTGTCCTTATGATATTTCTCTCAGCTTGGACTCCACTTGGAAGAGCGGATGCACAGTTGGTGTCCTTACACTAACGTCCACACAGAGCCTCACATAACCCCTCTGATGACGAAATATACGTTACACAAACCATCGTACACTTGAGGATGCTGAAAGTATACCACTAGCTTATCACAGGACGGGACTGCGAAACACAGATAAACTTTTAATGTACGTATACATTCACCTAAAAAGGGTGCATGTACAGTATGGCATTCCACTCTGAAAATAAAGATTTGTGCAGTCAGCGCTGCAGACAGAAAACTTATAATGCTTTGCTACAATTTAGGAGTACTTGAGATAATTTTTCCTCAAATGCATGAGGGGGGGGGGTGCACACGCCTCTCAATTGCTTTAGCATGTAGCTACAAATGTGGAACAGTACCATCTCATTTTATCTCTCTACGCAGAGCCACATGTAACCAAAGGTGAGAAACATTTACATGCATCACTGTACTCAGATTCAGTGCGCTTTCACAAGTCCACCAGACCTACCAAAAAACAACTGATAACATGGACACTGCTTGATTTTTAAACACTTACCCCATGCCTCCTCTTCCTCTTGGTCCGCCTCGCCCACCTCGGTCAAAACCGCGATCATATCCGCCGCCACCACGACCTCCAAATCCACCCCCACGGCCCCTGCCACCGCGGCCATCCTGACCTCCATAACCTCCATCAGGACCACTGTATCCTCCACCTCCTCCTCCACTCATCGGTGGGCTGTCATCTCCATATCCTGAGAGAAAGTTGAGACAATCTGACCTCAACAGTTTTGTATTTGAGAGTGTGACAGACATTCTGAGGGTCACCACTATTTTTAAATTCAAATAGCTTTAGTGTTTTACTTTCTTCGGTTTATTTTTCTCCAAGTAACTCATAATTGTATAAACAACAACAATACTGCAATTTACAGCAAAATGTTTATCCAGAAACAACGTCCCAGCTATTTATAAGTCACAGTGTCTGAACAGTTTTCTTTGGAACTACTTTTTTAAATAAGTCCCTCTTAAAATCTGTTGTCGGAGAAGTCAGAGATTATCCTGAGCTATAACATTTAAATGTCTCATGTTCATCTTTGTTCCCTGAAGAGGTGATGATAACATCTTTACACTTAGATAACAGTTAATGTAAACTTTTTTCCTCACCTCCACCTTGACCATACTGGCTCTGCTGACTGTAGCTCTGTGGGGGAGGGGAGTTGTAGCTCGGGGGCTGGTTGTAGTGACCTCCTCCATGTTGGGATGGTTGTTGGTGGCTTCCGCTGCCACCATATCCACCAGTCTGACCTCCACTGCTCCCATAACCACCTCCGCTCTGTCCACCACTGGGTGGCTGGTTATATCCAGGGGCCTGTGAGTTGCCTTCATAGCTGGTGAAGGTGAGGAGAAGAAGACCATTAAAAAACCTACAAAAAACACATCCCCCCACTACATCTACAGGGCTAAATCTCAGTAAATTAAAAGTAGAAGCTGATGGTGTCTTACCCTGCAGAGGACGAAGGAGGCTGCTGCTGGCTGTAACCAGAGAAGGATGACTGCTGGTTGTAGCTCATGTTGGAGGGCTGGTTGCTGCTGCTGTATCCCGAAGAACCATAGGACTGACTGGAATGATTATAACCGCCCCCACCACTCTGGTTAGAGGGTGGAGAACCGTAACCACCTGGGAGTAAGCAGAAGACAGGGCATGTAATTAAGTTCAACTGCATGCGTGACTGAAAAACTGTGTGGTTTTGGACAGTTACTGATTCTGCCTCTACCTGACTGGGGTTGACCGTAGCTGCCATAACCTCCCTGGTTGTAGGAGCCAGGGCTGCTGTCAGAGCCCTGGTTGTAGCCCCCATAGCCCTGCTGGCTGTAACTCTGGCCAGAGGACTGACCATAGCCCTGGTTAGCTCCACCACCTCCACCACCTCCACCACCACCTCCACCATAGGACCCATAGCTGGAGACAAGGTTCACACACCAAATATATAACATGCCTTTTACAAAATTGTATCCACTGAGAATTAGCATCCGTCAGTGAGTTTCTAAGATAATAAGAATGAGGTAAATTCATTTTCATTGTTAATTATTTATATTTCTTACGACCACAAAATTATAATGTTATAACATTCACATATGAATGTTGGTATGATATATATTACAATTCTTCATAGTTGTAAGAGAGTGAAGGAAGCTCTTAACATATTGTAAAGAGAGTATGATAAACTCTCTCTGCACAAAAAGCTGAGAAACTCTGGGTTATGATTGTTAAATTACTTACCCCTGGGCAGACGTTTGGGAATAATCTATGGAATAAACAAAACAGGGTGGCAATATTATGAATTATAATACAGTATGCTTTTTAAAAGTATTCATCAAATACGGCTGATTCAAATGTTGCTATGCTTCATTTGCATGGTAATCATCAAAAAAGTTGAAATAATTTAATGATCTTTTTTAATTCCAGGCAAGACAGCTGAAGCTCTTTTCTACAGTTACAGGCGCCTATGGGAATCAGTTAACTTGAGTTGTGTCATAAATCACAGAACATCAAGTATGCATTCATTTTTATTTGCATTTAAGTGTTTGGTGTTATACCCCAAGTGTTGATTAAGTCTGCCTAAAACACTTCTGGTCTGCATTTTTTTCACCTCTTCATTTCACAGAAAAATTTGTGGCTCTATATATGCAGCCCTAGATGAATGTAATTCTGACACACATTGGATGCTCAGCAAGATAGATTATAAACTCAAGACTGCAAATTAATTTTCATACTGTAGTGAAATGAACAAAACATTAGTATGATCCTGTATCATTGTCGTTTGTTATATTACACCTTTTTATAATGATATGATGGCTCTTATCAATTTAAAACAGGTACCTGCTGCCACAGACCGCTGTTGGTTGATCTTTCATAATATGGAAAATACACTAATATATGTATATATGTGTATATATATATATATATATATATAATCATTAATATATATATACACACATATATAAATATATAAATAAATAAAAACATTGGTATGATCCTGTACAGGCAAACAGTGTCCGCAGTCTGTTCACCGTGAGGCGGGGCCGCCATCGGAAACTGGGTCAGTAGTACAAGCGACCTGGCTAGCCCTTTGAGCTAAATGTTAATAAAACGTAGCAGGCTTGAATTATCGCGACGCCAGGAGCACGTCTGTCGGTGCTTATCTACCCTACGGACAAACGATGTTTAAGAGGTGCTCATGAATTCTAACTGGAAAATAAATAAACCGTAATACCGCAATATTTTAAACCAATATAATTAGCAGCTAGCTTATAACTGCCATTAGTCGACCTCAGCGTTGACTGCTAACTAGCGTCTTGTAACGAGCTAGTCACCGGTACCGGTACCGGATCATCTTGGTGGGGATATTTTCTAGTGTTAGCTAACCAGCTTCAACCTTCAATGTCCTCCAAACACTGGACAGAAATGAGCTGTGTTTCTTACCGTTGGACGCCATTTCGACGGACGATAAACACCCCTTAGTGACACTATGTCAACCAGCGTGTTGATAACGGACTGACTGAACCGAGGAGGAGGAAGATGAAGATGCACGAACACCGGTGTCCTCGCCACAGCTGCGCTGCAGTTCCTCCACAGACCGCAGGATGGCGGACTGAAGTATGTTTCTCCAGGAAACAAGTGATGTCTTGCATCCCTGTGCTGTATTTTGATGTTTTTGACAAACTCTTGAGTTATTTTAAGATGGTATTTAACTATACTGGGATTATATTGGCGCTTTTGTGGGTGATTTTTATAACCACATTGCTGTTTAATTTAGATTTAGTGGCATATCTAATGCCATCTCTCTTTAGCTGTTGTTATTTGTGCTTACCTTTACCAGGACATTCTTAAAAAGGAGCCTTTTACAAGCACAATGACTCTCGCCCCCTCACACCCTGCTGTACGTCCATCTTTCTTCAGAGAGCTGACCCAAAGGTTGAAAACTGGGCTCAATATTGCAGTGGCCAGGCTGTCAGAGAGATCACCAACCCACAGGATCCGTCTGAGCACTGGACCACCTACATGCTAGTGCACACACCCCCAGGAAGTGACAGCTTAACACAGCGGGCCAGCGGCAGACCGACACAACATACTGACTCAACATATTGACAGGTAGTTTTATCTCTCCAGAGCTTTATACAATAAAATATGACTTCATTTGTTATTTCCTCCCTCTGGTACACCAGTACCTATGCTTGATTTGGGTTGGTTCTGTTTTTCTGGACACAGTGACAGCTGCCATCGCTGCAAAGGTCGCCATGTATGGGTCAAGTTTCCCCTGAATTATTTAGGTCTCAACAATAGCTCTGTATATTGAATTAAAAGACGAAGAAGTGTTGATCTGAAAGTATCACGGTCACAGTGAGGAACTGCAACGCTCACTCCATTTAAATTACTAGCTAACACACAGAATACTTAAGATGTAATGACAGTAATTAGCATGACTGGAAATGATTGTCCAAGCAAACTGTTACGAGACAATGAACACCAATCACTAATAAGTGTAATAATCACACTAATAATGAGTTTGACATTGATAATTTATTGATTGGGCTGATTTTGTTTTAGCCACCAATTTAAAGAGTGCAGCAGTTCATCACTGTGACCACCAGAGGGCAGTGAACACTGATTGTTCTAAAATCACTCTTAAACCTGCAAGGAGAGAGTCCCTCACCATGCCTGCAACATTTGTATGAGAAAAAGGGACCAGAGATAAACCAGAGAATATGAAAAAAACATATAAATAAAAACAAATGAAATATAAAAAGGTTTAGGGAGGCCACAATGTACAAGACAGTGGTTATTTTTCAGTACTCTTGAAAAGGAAATAAATATTTTTCTTAGCCTTGCTCAAACCGACAGGCAATCATAGTATAACATTTTAGCGTGAAATGTAATTCATTTATTCATCCACATTCAATTGAAATATTGTTTATACCTGAGTTTATGATGAAGAACTTTGAGCTATGATGTGTTTTATTTAGCTGGTTTATCAATGTACTAAGTACTATATCACATTAGATATTGATATGTCAGTATAATACTATATACTCTCAGCGGATCTCATCCATATTGTTTTCTTCAAGCATTACATGCTGGTCCCGTTGGATAAATGTCTGACTGACCAAGTCTTTTGATAAACACAAGAAAGTAGGCAACTGGTAAATAGAAAAGGCGGTGGCTCATTTGAGTTACATTAATGAAATTACACTTGAGCTATTCATTTTTTGTTTGGTGTGCACCCATGTCACATGGTTTTAAGATGATGTTATTTAATTTGTTCTCAAATTAACATTAGCCTTTACAATGCGTTTTATAGATTGATCAAAAATCAAAGTGACAAGTTCCCAGCTGATTCACATGCTTCATTGATTGTGATGACAAAGAGCTTTTGAAATTTGTTTTATCCCGTTTATTGAAGTAACACTGACTTTATTGTATTTGCTGAATGGTGAAATCTGTCAACTTGTCATCAAAATTTGTATATCTCCAGCACTTGGACTTCAATTTAAGGATATCAGCCAGGTCAAAAGCTCTACTTGTACACACCCGAAACACACTAACCTAAATGTGCAGATTATCATAACGTTTATTGAGCACATTCCTGCTCCCAAAATTGAAGCCTTTTAAATAACATACCATGACCGTGACCTATATCTGCTTTGTTAGGCTTTAAACAGCATCTAAAATCAAACCAAGGAACTATACATGGAGGCCAGTGGAAATTCATTTAAATCAAATTTTATTCATTTTCGTAAAGATCTCCAGTAAAGACAATTAATGACATGAGCTGAAAGACAGACCAGAAATAAGGAGACTGTAGAGGAAAGAACATATAAATAACAGACAAAAAGATTGTGAGGGACAGGCCTATTTACACAGAGACACCCCACGCCTGTAACACATAGGGTTTTTATATAAGAGCTAATAGACCACAGAGTCCAACTAGCAGCGGTACAGCAGTAGGCTTGGAACTAGAAACAGTTTCACTCCTGATGAGCTCTGCTTTAAAATCCAGTTTTGTTTTCAGTGCCGTTTTTCGATACAACCAAGGCAGAAATAAGCAAAAAAAAAAAAAAAAAAATTTTCATGACCTGTTCTCATGTAACACAAAAGTCCTTACTGTGAGGAATCTGAGAGGTTGATAATGATGCAGTAATGCTACAAAAACTGCTCAGTAGTCACTTTGTCTAAGTAGAGGGAATGGCTTAAAAGCATTACTGACATCTTAAAACGTAGCACACTTAAACTAAGAAACAGAAGGAGGATTTTAACTTGGTGTACATGATGGAGGGAGGGTTGTGTGCACGTGTTGCTGAATGTTTCAGTGTTGTGTATGAACTTAGTGACAATATCACATAACCTTCATGTGGAGACTGCATGCATGGCAGATAAATAAAAACAATAAAATAAAAAAAAAATCGAATGGGTGATGATGAAATGTCAAGTGGTGGGGAGAAATTAAACTTATTCAACGTGTGAAGAAAAAAACAAAAACAAAAACAAATGTGTATCTTGCTCTGTGGCAGAGACTGAGGAGGCTCTTTTGTTTTTGATCTCCATCCTTTCTTAAAACAACTTCCTTCCACCTTCCATTTTGTGGTGCGGTTCATCTTTCAGAGACTCCCCTATTCGCCCCCACACTTCCATCTACTCATTCTTCTTCTCCTTCTGTTTGAGCAGTTTGTTGATCTCCCTCTTGGCCATGCCGGCATACTTTGAGATGATGCCGTGCTGGTTCAGGCCGGGCAGGAGGAGCAGGAAGCTCACTGTGGGAGAGACGAAACAAACGTGATGTCAAATGTGAAGGCGTCAGTGGATTAGAGTGACAAGATTTTAATCGTGTGATCTAACTATATAGCCATGAGTTTTAGAAGTAGAGTAAATTTAAAAACAGCACTTGTCAGGGAGATTAAAAGGGTTTACTCATCGTAAGGTGCAATATTAAGACTTGGAAAAAAAAAACAAAAAAAAAAAAAAACACCACATTGAATCAGGAGGAGCTTTCCAAACAAAAGAAAGAAAGAAAGAAATAAAAAAAAAAAAAAAAAAAAAAAAAAACGAACAAACAACTTATGCTACAGACTGAACAATACTGTTGAATTGCTTTAAGGAAAATTTAGGATTCAGAGTTTTTGAGCTTGACCCATACCAGAGACTTAATAGTCAGGTCATCTCACCCTGTTGTTCCCATTTTGATCCCTCAACTCTGTAAATGCAACACTAAAAATCACTGGGGTGCCACTCTAAGCAAATCAACCCAGTATCTAGACAGCAAACAACTTGTAAATCACCAAACCTCATCTTCTGTAAGACATGCATGTGTTACAATATAGTTGAAGTCTTTATGAATATAAATATGTGCTTATGCAATATGCTGCTTATGTAATATACAATTTTCTGACCTGTTTTTTTCCCCTGTCTTACAGCCTGACAGGTGAGACTGCCATGAGGATTAGGGCTGTGAGAAATACTCCTGACAATGCAGTACAAAATCTCCCCTTCCTGAGTCACAGCAATGAATAACGGGTGTTTTTGCATAACGTTGTGATGTCACAGTGGAGTTGACCTTTGACCATTTGGATATAAAATGTCATCACTTCATTTTATCCATATCAGCATTTCAGTTAAATTGTGTCGTAATTAGTTATGGCCAAAAACGTGTTTTGTGATCCTTGAGTCCAAGTGAACATTTGTGCCAAATTCCCTTAAGGCGTTAGAGATATTGCATTCACGAGACGGACGGACAACCTGAAAACATAATGCCTCCGGCCCTGACTTTTGCCGGCGTGGAGGCATAAAAGACCACCAGTACAATCTCCACTTTGCACAGTTCTCAAAATCATCACATGGACTTCTGAGAATTTTCAGATTTCTTAGACCACTTGGAAAATAAGCAACAAAACTTCCTTTCAAAAGCAACACAGTAAGGGAAGTCCCACTTAACAGGAACAAGAGCTACACCTCGACCTCAAATACAAAAAAGACCTTATACCATCTGATATGAATTCCACTTGTTAACTTTAAGTAGTCCCAGAAAAGCTATGAGCTGTGGAAAACCTAACTTACTGCTTTCAAAAGAAACTTCTTGTTTTTGACACAGTAAGCTGATCTGCTTGGTGTTAAAGAGTTTATCATGAGAACACCACTGCTAGGCAACTGACAAATAATGGATGCCACAACATAAACATTACTTCACGTTTTCTTATCAAATGATGTTTTCTGCATTACAACATCATGATGAGGAACAAGAGTCGACAGTTTAGGAAATGTGACTCTCAGAAAGTTCTTCACTCAAGTGCAGTTACAGGTTTACATTAGCATACCGATTTAAGTAAAGGTTAGTGGTGAACAGCCAGCATTTTTTAAATCCACAAATTATTGATAGGATTGGTGGAATAGGTGGAAGTCCTCGAAACATAAAAGCAGATAGTGGCTGAGATAAGTCTGAAGAGCAACTTAATTTCAGATTAAAATACAGAATACTTTGTTTCAGAGTCATCTCTACTCCATGGTTTCCCCATAAGATGAATACTTGTCATGTCTCAGATTACATAACTGATAACTAGCTCCCACACAGGCGGCAGACTGGCTGACACACCAACCACCACTTTCCCTGAGGCACCACTGTGCTGCTGTAACACCGACAGTGTGTCCCCTGTTCATTTTAAATTCACAGTAGAACTGAAAGAAGATTTAAGGTTTCACTGTACATTCACTCCTGTTTTGGTTCCATTCTGCAGACAGAAGGGATAAACACCTTCCTAGTTGTCTGCCATTAATAATGAAAAAAAGAAAAGCTCCAACTTATTATTACTGGCACTGTAACTGTCTGCTGTCTCAGTGATCCAGGTATTGATCCACATTATCACTGTACTTCTGAGTCATAGTACCAGGAAGCCTGGTAATAATGGGCAGAGTTCATGTGATGACACTCTCTACAGCATCAGTGCTGCACTTTTCTCTCAATAGTTACAACATTTATGCAAAACAGCAGCACTGAATCCAGCATGAGATGCATTAAAAGTAACTCCACACACTGAAACAGAACAACTTCTGACAAACATATCACTTCCTGTTTCTGCCATGTCATGTGTGACTATCATCACATCAGTAGTTCACCACAGCAGCTACATTTAAAAGGGTAAACCTTCACTACAGTGAGAACAGCAAGAGTGTAAGGAGAGGCATTTCCTCCATTTTATCAATGGATTTAACTTCTCATATTAATCCCAAACATTAAGTACAAAGTACAAAACCACACAATAGAAGTTTGTGAATGAAAATTAATACCCAACCATTAAATATCAGAACTCCTCCATTTAGATCTGAAGTTTAGAACTATTCTGCATGAATACCTAAAACTCCTTGACTGTCAAAGACTTTATCCTATTTAAAATGACCGGTGAAAAGATTAACATATTTCAGGGAAATGTTTAACCCCAAGAACCATTTTAGGACAGTAAGATTTTCTGTCTTGGAGCATTACATTCCACTGCTTGCCTGCAATGACTAAAAGTTGGTAAAAAAATCTTCATCTTACAATACTGTCTTTGTGCATTTTGTGAGCAAAGTCAAGAGCTAACACAAGTGACAGAATAAATGACATTCATGGCTGGTAACAATAGTGACATGGAACCCAGAGTCCTCCACCAACGCAGGAAGATAAGGTAAAAAAAAAAAAGCCACAATTACTCCAAGTTGTAAAATACTCACCAATCAGGTAGGTGAGGAACAGGTTGTGCACCTGCTGTCCGATCCAGGCCACTGCCAGCAGGCTGCTGATCACTGAGGCAAAGTACTGCGGAAAGCAGGGAGGTCACATTACTGTCAACCCACAGCAGTTCAACTCCTAAACACAGAAACTGGCATCCTGACTGCATGCAGAGCATCAATGAGTTTAAAGGAACCACTCTTCATATGTACTGCAACAGAGGTTATTTTCCTCAGCAGAGCATATGCTGTTTTGAAGGAACCAACAAAGCTGTCATTGAATTAAAGAAGGTGGTTTAACAGAGAGCGTATAACAGTGTTAAAGCACACTGTGAAAAACCCGGTTAGCACAGCCTGTAACCCAGTTTGAGCTCTGCTAAGTGGAGCAGCAAAGCCAAATCAGCTGAGGGTATTTTTATCTAGAGCACAGAGAAAGCTCGCCATTGTAATAAACAGATAAGGGTCCATTTACTGCACTGCTGCAGCCAGTGCATCACAGCATACAAGCTCAGGTTGATGCCTGCAGTATGTAATGCTCAGCTAATTCAGTCATCTTATGTGTTATAATTGGGATTTAAATGTACCATTTTGGGCTTCTCCTCCTTGAGGGCACAGAGACGCTTCCACCAACCCACGACCCGACGCTGGGTCTTCACCAGGTTACCGCAAATCTCATGGAAACGCTGCTGCTGTTCAGTGGTCCTGCACACGAGGAGAGGTTGAGGACAAGGGTGTGAATAAAAAGAAAACTAACTGTAAGAGCTTGGCAGAAGAGTTTGTGGTCAGTTAAAGCAGAGGCCAGGAGGATGTTTGGAGACAAAATAGTCACAAACAGCACTGTCTTGTCGTCAAGAGGAAGCCCGCAAGTTCACTGTGGTTTGTCACATCAAGACAGCTATCCCCACTTGTCAACAGTTCTTTTTTTTTTTGTCAGCAGTTTTTTTTTTTACCTGAGAACAGACTACATGTGGGAGATATTTGCAACAACTTCAGAGCTCCATGACTGTAGCAGTAGTGTTGCTGCATCAACCTATTTCCCCATTTTGAACAAAGAAAAAGAAATTCCCATGTTTCATCAGATTATTCATCATATGTAACCTCTATTAGTGCGGAAATGATAAGTGAAAATTTCTAATTAAAGAACCACAGATGAAACCCTGATTGAGCTGTAGCTTTCTGTTACATCCCCCTGACAACTAGCCAGGTATGAATGGTCCAAAAAAATAAATAGAAAAATAAAAAAAAGACTAAAGGGACAAGACACTTGCAGGGGTGAAAGAAGGGCTTGACAAGAGGAGGGAAGCAGGGCAGCTGGGAAAAGTGGCCTTCATTTTATGCTTAGCCATCATTCCCTATTTCAGTCCTTGTTGTCAGCAAGCCAAACGATAGCCGTGACCAGACTGATAGCTCCATTTAACTGAAGTACACAAACACTCCAGCTATATCTGGCCCACTCTGCAGGAGACTTAGCATAGTATAATCTCAAACAATCTTCACACTCTGCAGATCAATAGCTACATTTTCCATATCTGTATCTAACAAATATTAAGCTGCCTGCCTCATTTCCTCACTTAACTAAACTCTGTCAGAAGGTTAGTGCCAATGTACTCAGACACCACTAGATGTAAAGTGTAACATGCAAGAACACAAAACCTTTCACTTCACCATTTATCTAATAACAGTCACTGCTGCTTCTTGCTGAACAGACCCTGCATGTCTGTGGAATGTACAGCAGTGCAAAGGGGTGCAGGCCATGCTCTGCTGATGCAGGGTTATATATTGAGAGGCTGAAGGTGTCTGGCGGGGAACAGACGTCCAACACACTGCCAACTGCAGCCTGTTACTCTATCCTGTCCTGGGTGTCTGGTTCTCACCATCAAACACACACAGCTGAGTCTAGGGGCTGTTGTAAGCACTGTATAATGTCAAAGCTCCATGAGGTGGTTGGACACCCTATAGGACTGGTTTCAGGTGACAGCTTTCAGGCTGTTATATTAGGTACAGCAAAAAGAAGTCTTCACTGAAGACAGAATTCCCATGATTCCATGACTAGCAGTAACCCTTACCAAAAACAGAAAAAACATTTTATAGATTGAAATAAACTTGACTTTATGGTCTAATGGAAAAATACATTTTAACCCCCACCCCACCACCACAAGTATGACTTTCATCCTCTCACCACTTATTGGATCCAAAGACTCTGGGTGCAAGGGTGGGCACCAGGTAGTCAGCCAGGCAGAGCAACATGACAGAACAGGAGAGCCCAGTCAGTACTGATGGGTCCAGGTAGTAAATCAGCCTGGAGGAGGACGACAAATCAGTTAGTCATGGTTATAAACCTGTTTCACTGCAACTGCTCTAACTGAAGAAGGGCATTTTGTATCATGTATGCATAAATGAAGAGACAAGTCTGTTGTTCACTTCCATTATATTACAGTGGTTTTTAAATAGCTGCTTGTTGAGACTGAAAGACCCCTGCACATGAATGGTGGAGCTGTAATTTTAAAAACCATCTAGTACTTTAGCAGAAAACAGTCTTACTGTTCTAGTCTGTTTTCTTCACCTTAAATCTTTTTCCATAATTACTTTGACAAACTAAAGAATGTTGTAACCAAAGGTCCTTTATCAAAATCTGATCTTGTATAATCTACAGTTTCATTCTTCTGGTTTTGTGTTTCAACAATGTGGGAAAGTTTAACATGACCATTGGACCAGAGCACTTCCACCTACATTTTAAACCAGTATTAAGTAGCTCAGTTAGTGTAGAGATTCCTTGTCTTTGTCTTGTTACAGCAATGATTCACTGCTGAGAGGAAGGAAATGTGTGCTATGCCAACTATGTGCCCAGCTGTGTGTATCCCTGTGACACAGCATGCAGTAAAATGGACTCACAGGAAGAGCACGGTGGTAGCACCCATCAGGGCCCCAGGGAACCATGGCTTCTCCCAGCGCAGGACGCGATCCCCAGCTAGGATCACTTCACCCCAGCCCTGCAGCTGCTCCTCCAGCTGGGCCGTTTCCTGAGCCTGGGCACAGAATTTAACGCATTATACATTACATTATGGACTAATAACCACATTACTGATGTTGAAGCTAAGCAACAAATTTCTACAATATCAGCATAATTCCTGAGTGACCAACAGGGATCTCTTCAAATGTCAAGGACAGGAGTTTCTCCTGGGATAAATTTCACATCTATGCAGTTTGGGCATCAATGTGACATTACTATATCCAATCTAGTTAACCTGGATTATAGTGGATGTGTATTCCTACACTCATACCTGTAATTCATGGCACCATTTTTAAAAAAAATGGTCTTCCATGGTATGAGTGCAGTCTACACATTTAAAGTCTCAACTTAGTTATATTCTCAACCTTGAAGATATTTTAATATTGATAGGTTTCGACCAGTGGGGATTTTTTCGGTCATCAGCGTTTGTGGAAACTAGCTGGTTTTGTTTGTAATGTATTCTTAAATTTAAAATTGACAATTAATTCATGTGTTAAGTCTTCCTCTTGGGTGTGTGCTTTTGACCATACGCAAGCCATCGGTATCGGTATGTTGCATCAATGACATGACTGTGCAGTATATCCACCCGAGAGACGAAATGATTAGCGCTAACTACGTATATCATCAAGCTATATCGAGTGAGAATATCACAACTCGATTTCAGGCTTTTAAGCTCAGATAGGCTACTACAACTGAAGCAGTTACCGTTATCGCACGTTAACAGGCTAGGGAAACGTATCTGCTCAAGCTAACTGGGTAAAGCGTATTAAACTGGCTAGCTAACAGGCTAGCTGCCGTTAGCTGCTGTCACGTCACTGGTCGGATAAGCGCTTAAATAACAAAACTAAATCGCTGGTGAGGCGGCTCGCTACTTGGTGGTTCAAAATTTACTTTAACAGAGCAAATCTTATTTTTAAAAAATGGCACCCTCGGCTGCTTGAACGCCACCGGATTAGCACCAGCAGTTTATGCTAACGTTAGTATTGCAAACACACCCACAACTCACTGAGACCTTTAAATTCACTACATAAAATCTGGGTAGTACTCACCAGCATATTTGCGCTTTTGTTGTCGACTTCAGTCATTGTTACTGAACCAGCGTCGATCGGAATTTTTTAATCGTGAATTTTTACGTATTTTGTAGAGAAACGACCCCGCAGAGCAGCAGCGGCACACACGCTTCCTCCCCTGGCTTCAGCGTCACTAACGGTCGAGCTCTGGCAGGATGTTTTTATCCCAAAATTTGCGTCAAAAACCAGCCAATGGTATTCTGGGAAATGTAGTCTTAATAATCTTAGTTATGTCACTAAAGTATTTTTTGAATTTTTTAAATAAATACAGTGACATTAAGTTTGACGAAATGTTGTAAGTTCTCATTAAAACTAGGTCAATGAGTATCATATAAGATGAGTCTAACACATAATTTACGATGAAAAATCTACCTGAAAGGCTTAATTAAATTGTTAGCAAAACAGGTGTGGCGTTTGTGGACAAATCAAGGAAAGTGTGTCTTACAGTATATTTACTTTAGGATAATTTTGTCTGATTTAGTAAAGTCATTGACACTTGACACATTAAAAATGTTTTCCATATTTTGTTTTATTTTGATCACAGCATGACAGATAAAAAAAGCATATTATTTGTTATTCAGTCATTTATTTTACTTGGGTAATGTATTAACAAAACAAAATAGGTTCACATTTAAATGTCACAGCCATACTGAGAGTAGTTTTTTGTCAAAACAAACAAACAAACAAACAAACAAACAAAACATATTAGTTGACCATAAAACTGTAGTGTAAGCTATGTTGTTTTATGTGACAATTTTACTTTCTGTGTTGATTGTAACCATAGGAGAATTGACATTCTGGCTCTTTGTCTCTAAATTCATTTGATGTTGTACATTTTTGAAATTAAATAAACAAACAAACAAGAAATAGTTCTTCAATGGGCTATTTTTCTTGCAAAGTTTACATATATGTGCAATACTACTACTACTATAATTTGACATGCCAAAACAAAAAACACCTGAGAGACTCTTTCTAAAAACCTAAATCCAGCTGATTTCAGATTCAGGTCAACTTTTGGCTCATCCAATTGTAATAACAATATTCATTTAACACAGATGGGTGGTTTGGCATTTACTTTATCATCATACTTGCATGCTTACATTCAAACAAAATGTGATACAGAACGTAGTCTGCTCTATTGCGTGTCTGTTTGCAATCCTTACTTTCTCAGCTGGTGCCCATTCTTATAAATCACCCTGGACAACTTGTTCACTCTGAACTGCTGATAATCAAGAACTTCCTCATACTTCTTTAGAAGATGAAATTGCAGTTCTTTCCTTTGCCACACAGGTGCAGCCTTTATCAGTGTAAGACTGTAGCTGCTGATGCTATACAAACTTTTTGATTGGAAAAAGTTCCCTTCGACAAGTTTTAGTGACTGTGTTTGGTACAATTTGATGCGACTTTAATAATATTTACACAATTCATTGTATTACTTGAGACAACGGGGGGAAGTCAGTGGTCTACCTGGCATTATCTTAAATTCCAAAGTGCTTAAGTTGGTTCAACTTGACACAAAAAGTGCTCAAACTTAAACCTGGGCTTGAGTGGTTTTCACACTAATCATGTCTTCATTTCTAATTGCTGGACTTCATTAAAAGTAAAACATGGGGTCTGATTTAGTTGGCTGATATTCACTGTTTCAGGACACATGGACTAAATGCAATACATTTTTACCTTCATTTTTTCTTTACATTAATTTTGGAGGTTTAAAAACATTTTTAGAGACAGTATAACACCAGGGTTAGGGCTCCCCGAGGCAAAAAATAGGGCCAATAGCTATGTCTGTACAACACATTTTGCACATATCTCCCAAAACCAACTAATATTTAAAAACTGGAATACTATGTTCCACTAGGTTTTAAAAAAAGAATAGGAATAGGCATAATATCAACTGAAATATTGTGTTTAAACTAGATTTTGATATAGGTCCCTCTGCAAGACAATGTTTTAAGATTAGGTGAGTACAATTTATCAATTTGCCACAAATAATTGCTACACAAACAACCTTGGGCTTTTGGAGCCCCTGAGTGTTTGGATCCTAGGAGCAGTTTTTGGACTGAAAATGCACTTAGATCAATAATATTGCCTTATTTATATCATGTTGATCGTGATGAAGCACATCCATTCCTAGAAGGCCTTTTGAGTTCCTGTACTCACATCTAGCCTCTCAGAAATGAAGTTCCTTTGCAGCTTTTTTCCCCCCATTCTTGTGTTGATCCTTTCTCTTAAAAACCTATATCGCCCAACGTGGGGCTCGAACCCACGACCCTGAGATTAAGAGTCTCATGCTCTACCGACTGAGCAAGCCAGGCCTGTAACTCAGCAAAATATATCACGTTAAAAAGATTAAGGCACTTCCGCGTTGGCTTCATTTTTCAGCCCCGGAGACTACGTACATTTTTATATACAGTCTATGACTACAGCAGGTTGAATCTGAAGCTGGGGAACAATAGTCTGTATAGGGGGGGGGGGTTGAAAAATGAAGATAAAGAGAGGAAAAATTGAGAAATTGAGAGAAATTAAGTGAACTGATAGTCATTAGTGTCTCTGCTGCCCATCACAAGTTATTGGACACAGTTTACGCTCCATTAGTTTGAGAAATATGACCAAACATGACACTTAACTAGAGTATGGCACAGGAAGCTGCGGATCCAAAGGTCGCCAGTTCGGTTCCCGACTGGAACATGTTGCTTCCCAAAATTACCAAGCATTGTAAATCTATCAAATATCACTTAATAAGTGATACAAATTGGATGGGGACTTCTTGTAAATGCCATACAGCCAAATAACAGTTCATTGTGTTGTTTAGTGTTTACAAAATTTTATTATTAATAATGAAATAATAATAAACTTTATATACCAATGTAAGAAATATTTGTAAAAATCACCACACCTAGACACATACGTTTTGAATTTACTTTTGGCTAGAATATATTTGATATTTATTTTTAAATTTCTGACCAATGAATACAATAAGTATTGAAAGTACTGCAACAATGTAATTCTGACTGATTAGTTTGCATGCTTTCATGCAATGTGGAACTGTTTGAAATACTATTCCGTTCCGTTGTTGTATTTTCATTATATGCTAGTGTTTGAATAAGTGAAAGATACTTCTGTAGAAATATAGCAAATTCATTACAAATTTCACACCTTAATTCTCCCTCTCATACACACATACACACACACACACCTATAATTATAGCACACATACTAAGAAATAAATTAAGTGTATAAAATAAAATAAATAAAATATAATAAATGAACTAAAAATAGAAGATAAATAAAGCTAGGAAACTATTAGAATAAGACTAAAATATAACAAGACATTTTTTTTCTTTTAAAACTATTTACATTATGTACACATAGAGACAAAGAATGTCACAAATCTATTTTTTATCTGCCCTTTTCCTCCGCATCTCCTCCATCCACTGATCAACTGGCATGTTGGCTTTTTGGGGCCAGTATATGTGTCCATAATACTGACTGTAACCAGTTTCCTTATTGCAGGGCTGGTGGCACTGACTACATTTATTCTTTTAAACTGTCCGGGTGTAAGCCCTGCGGGCAGGTGGTGGGGAGGGAAGCGGGCCAGAAGGAGCGATCTGTTGGGCTCCAGGTACTTGTGGGGTTAGAAATATAAATGGAGCGATGACAGGGCTGGGGTTGGGGACAACAGGCAATGTGGCAGATGTAGGTGGAGGTGCCGGCTGAGGGAACAACTGCCTCTGAGCTGCAGACTTCCTCTTGACCACTGCCTGTCCTGCTGTACTGTGGGGCAAGTGGTACTGATGCTGGGGGCCAGGGCGTGGGGGTGCAGCTGCGGGGCGCACCTGTACAGGTGGGAGAGGCGCAGAAGCAACTGGAATAGAGGCAGGCAAGTTGACCCCTTGAAGCAGAATACTACTGCCCTGCCTCTTCAGTCTCTTGTTGTTCCATTGAACCAGTGTTGTTTGACTGATCTCAAACAACTGCTGAGTAGTGCTCTGCATTACTGTGGCATTACCCAGGACCAGCTGCTGGATCTTCCTGTAGTCCGTGACGATCAGAGTCCATCTTGTCAGTGCGTAACTGCCCTGTTTTTTGGGGCTCTTGTGAATGTTACACAGCTTGACACAGATGGACTCTACCAGAAGACTACAGCCTGGCCACTGGGCTGGGGATCCCGAACATGTCAAGGAACGTGTCGTGTTCTCCACACCTGGTGTAAATTCAGGTCTCTTTCTGGCACACCTGAAGCGTCCTGTGGTAAGGCGGACCTGGCGCCGCGCAGCATACACCACTCGCTGCTGGTCATATTGCAGAAGGTTCTGCCACAGGGCTATAATTGTACTGGCCTGTTGGTTGCTGAGTGTTTGGCCAGTTTCACTCCTCAGCCCCACCAAGTACTCTGCCAGGCTGTCCACTTGGTCCATCCCTGGGATACCGCGCTCATGCAGACAGCTGGAAATTATAGATAACATCAAAAATCAAGATACAAAGGGCAGAAGAATGTCAACACATCGATCGTGCACAGTCTGGAACTGTACGTGCTGTTGCTCAGGGTTGCGTGCTGGGGTACATGGCACCGGTTTCACGGCGGGAGGACCTAGAGTGTTGAGTGGACGTCGGAGCAGTAGCTGGTAGGATGCGGGTACGTTGCACTCGGAGGGGGTGATGTCGGGAGGGCGAGAGGCTGTGCTGGGGATGAAGCAGCTCTGTGGGCCAGAGGACGTGGTGTTGCGCTCATCACAAATCTGTTAAATGTATAAAAACAAACATCAAAATAATACGATGACAAGCAAAACAAGAAACCACTGACACTTTTTTGATGCAACATTTCACAAAAAGACTTACAGGCTGTGCTCAGTGCGGCTGGGGTGATGGTTTGTGACCCAGCAGTAGCTGTAGCAGCAGAGAAAGTGGTTTTGTGAGGGTGGTGGGAGAGGAGGAACAGAGGCTGAGCTGGTGGTTGAGGCTTCTTGGTCAGCAAATTGAAAGCCTGAAACAACAAACACAAAAACAAGACAATTGACAATAAGAAATTCCATCTATCCGACAAGAAAAGCAGAGATGATATGTCACATAATAAAAACACTTACCAGCTGTTGTTGAGGTGGGGCAAGGGTGATGGGTGGTGAAGAAA